AAAGCATATATCCATCAGATATACATATATCTGATGCATATATCCAGCATTCATCAGGAAAAATAAATTTAAGTTTGAAATATAGGAGTACTAAATTATTACGGAAGCTTATGGACTATGGAAGCTTAAAAAACTTGGAATCTTGGCAGGTGAACTTATTATAAAGCTCTCATTATCATCTGAACTTGACTCTAGGTGGCTTGATAAACTTCATTTCAAGCTTGTGTTTCTATGTCCTGGTACTACCTCTAAAGCAATTATTTCCAAAACAGAAAAATGACCTATTTTGAAGCCAGAAGTACTAAACCAGAAAACAACTTGAATTCATTCTATAGCTATTTATTGCCCATGCTATGCTTGCAGTACACAAAGCTATCTTAAAACAATTGATTTGGGACACAGAACAAGAAAAATAAATTGTATGAAAACAAAAAATGGAATCTGTAGTCCACATTAGGTGGCTGTAACAGCCTCTAGGAACAGCAATAGCCAGTTCAACCTATCCAGTTCTCACAGCTACTAACAGCAGATCTCTCTGGGAAGAAAAAAAAAGTACAGAAGTAATGTACAATTACACTTTTCCAGAACACCATCTCAGTCTTCAGCAATGCACAGCTCAAGAAGTCTTGAGGCAGAGAATATTTCTGTATTTTATGGAGTTGCTGGACTTCTGTCTGTGACTTTCAAACTATGTGGGCCCTTAATATAAAAAAAATACCTACTGACAAAGTACTCCACAAACAACAAAATGTACAGAAGGTGTTTCATCTGCAGTATGCTTTCTATATTTCACTTTCTACAGCTGGAATCTCACACACATACTGGAAGCAGTTTTCTATTTTCTCAAGTTTACCTTCAGAGCATACATGACTTAAAGACCTCCAGCATAGCCTCCTTCAGCCATCTCTTTTCTAGGCTAAAGACTCCCTGCAAAAAATCCATTCCATGCTTCTGACTGACCATCCTTACACTCTATTTCTGGAATCAGCAGATTACTTTTAGTTAGGGAAAGGAACACAAAAACCACAAGCAACAGTCAAGATACGAGTAAATCACAAATTAACACAATGGAGTATCAACGTTCTTGACTCTGGTGTAGTCCTCAAAGAAGCCTTCACAGATCTCCTTGCAAAAGTCAGCCTCGTACACAAATACAGTTGATTTCAAAGAGTTTTGAAAACCACAAACTTTTTTTTTTTTTTTAATATGCTAGATTAACAATGGTTAGATTAAAGCTGCCACCACATAACAAAAGTCTTTACTAGATGAAGAACCAAGACAGGACAAAGGAAAAAAAAAAGAAGCAAATATTTACAAGCTGAGAAACAGAGGAGTTTTACACCTGTGCTGCTTATGGCACACCTGAAACTACAGACCTTGTCAGAGGTGCAGAACTAATGCATATGACCTACCAAGTCAGCATCTTTCCTCTCATTAAAGAAAATGAAGTCATGCAGTTCCCTTACCCTACATCCCATTCTAATACCAGAGACTCAACACCAAGTGGCCTGGACAAAGTCATACATGCAGTTCTCCTGTTATTACTGAAGTGTACACACTGAAGTGAAATATATGACCACAAGCACATTTGTGGTATAGCCATACCACGCTTCTACTTCAACAGCACCATGACACTTCAACACTCACAGCAGCAGAGAAAGCATTTCCTCTGCTCACACAACCAGAAGCCTCCTCACTTCAAAGCAATTACAGGCCACCAAATGTCATACTTTTGCGTACCAGGAGCAGACCATCTGAAATGGACTGACATATTACTACGAGGGAACCATGCAACTCTAATGCACAGTGATAAGAGCAAGAAGAAAGCATCAACACTGTGCCTGTGCTGGACTTAGATCTGTAGCATAAGGTATCACTTTGTCATACAAGCAGTGCAAGGCAGAATTTGTTAAGCCACCTACTTAACGTTTGTACAAGATTCTGCAGAGGTTTGTATCTGAATAAATCCAGAAGAGATTTCCACAGGGACACTGAAAGAACACTGTGAGCTTCCAGGTATCACCAGCTTAAACACAAGGCATACTTACAACACTGTAAGCAAAAAGCCTGTCAGGACAATCATTTTCCTCTAAGTACTTTCACTCATTTTACTCATTTTATTTTCACTTATTTCTCATCATTTACTGAGATCAAATACTTCAAACAGCTAAATCTGAAATCAAACTCAAGCATCAAGAAAATCCCTAATGTTTAAGGATCAAGTTATTCAACTTATTTCTGTTCCTTCATTCACAGCTGTTTGCAGACTTCCACACTTCCTCCCAACATTTTAGTTTTCAAATCAAAATTACCCTTTTTCCCCCCCAAAAAAATTACAATAATTAACAACTTACTCAGCTCCTAAAGCCATTCAAATTACAGAAACTGTGACTGGACATAAATCACATGTCAACAAAAAAGAAAAAAAAAAAAAAAAAAACACAGAACAATGAAACAAAACCTGATCCAGAAGAATAATCCACAGCATAAAGGTAGAAGGAGTGGCAACATAGGTCCACCTAAAGTAAGGCTATCTGCTAACAACTAAAACTCTTATTTTAACCAGACAAAGCCCAGCAGGAAATCCAAGGTCAAAAGAGCTTAACCAAAACAACTACAGTCTAGCAATACTATATTTTGTAGGCAGAAATATCACAAGGGAACTGAGGAACTGGAATGCATTTTGTTTGTGAAACTCCTCTACAACATCTACAATAATCAAAGTAGTTTCCCATCAGGCCTGAGAGCAGAACTGATCAACAGACTGAAGAACTTCTTGCAATATTCACTAGAAGATGTATACTGAACTCCTTTAACACCTTGAATTAACCTACAGTTAGCCTGTATTTTCTTAAATATGCTGCACCAACGAGAACAGAATCAAGAAAAACAAAACACAATTTCTTGCTTGAGTCAACAGTATAAGCTACTCCCAGGGGAAAAGTCAGTAACTTACACATCACAATTTTGAACAAGGGAAATGAAGTTAGAGTAAAATTTAAGTTCACAACTTAATGAATTATGACACAGGATACTATTTGAGAAAACTGAAGTATGTTCTAATGCTTTATATACCCGAACTACAGCAAGATTTTACAGCACAGTCAACATTTCTTCAGAAACTTCTTGCAAGAACCTCCATTGTCATTTGATTACAGAACTAATATTGTCCCTGTATAAGATACTGAATTCCTTCAACATGTCCTATTAATCTCTAAATCTAAAGGACAATCAAGATCTGAACATGTGTCTCATCTGTTTGGAGATATGAAGAGTTAAGTCATCAAGCAACTATAGACATATTTTACTGGACATGTATCAAAAACCTTAAAACTTACACTAAGATGTTATCTTCAAAACTCCACGTATATTAAAAATGTATCTGAAAATACATTTGTTTTTTGCATGGGGGACAGAGGAGATCAGGACCTCCATAAAGCAAAACCAAAGAACAAAACCAAATACCCCATTCAGCTTCATACTGAAGAAATATTCCCCTGCAAAAGACAACTACAGGAAAAAAAAAAAAAAAAAAAAAAAAGTGAGTTGACTGCAGAACCAAGAAATGGTACAATCAGGAGCTGAGAAAGGACCACAGAAGTCCTTAATCTCCTCAATCAACTTTTTTTTTTTTTAGTTACATATGAAGTCACCAATTTTTCTGCTGCACAATTACTGTGCCTGTTCATAATAGCCTAGTGAGATTACAATAATTAGCATTTTACAGCACAATGTTCTGAACTGAATACATTACTGTGGTAACTGTACACTTACATTTGCTGCAGAATTGTTTACATTGTTTAAAAATCAGGATGCTAGACAGAAAATAGCATCAGCAAAAGTTAAGGACCAGTAATTAAAGAGCCTGATTTTCTTCCCTTTTTTGTCACATTTGCCATAAAAACCTCAGATACCAGACCAAGAACGGATTTTTTAGTTTGCTCAAGTTTTTCTTTTTAAGCAGAAACTAACCAAAGATTTTTATCTCACATACAGCGGCTCTCATTCTGACCTAACTGCTGTTTTATCCCATCCACTTACTTGAATATTGTTTCCTGCCTCAGGCCAAGGAAAAGCAGCTGCTCTTACACCCATCAGTACCTGTACTGAGGCAAAAGCCAACCACCAGCTGCCCAAGCCCGCTGGCACCGCTCCACTCGTTTCAAGGATCAGAAAGCAAACCATGCCTGCTTTCCACACTCCTGCATGGAGAAGGGCCTTGTGCGAGGCATGCACTGCAGTGCCAGGCAGACCCAGAGCAAGGCCTGAGCTGCTCCGCATCACCACCTTCACGGCGCAGGGTGACAGAAATACTCTGCATCACGCTGCAGCTGAGTTTATTTTTTTGTGAAAAGTGCTTAAGAACTGCTACTTTAGTAACTCCCAGGTAACTTCTGTTCCCGCTGTCGCTCACGTCTCAAAAAGAGCACAAGCAGATACAACCTACAGCTCAGCAACGCCCGAACAGACGCTGCTTTCTTCGAGTCACCTCTTTTCCCCTTACTCTCACACAAGAAAGCGTGACGATGCTTTCTGCAGGAGGACGCGCTCGGCCCAGCGCAGCACCTCGGTGCCCGTCCCGCCCCGTCCGGCAGCAGCCGCTGGCGGCGGACCGGCAGCGGAGCAGGTGCGGGGTGCGTGCCGACACCAACGGCTCGCCCCGACGCCGCTTCCAGCCACGTTACGTCAGGCACATCCTACCTGTGCCGAGAAATGAATGAACCGCAGCGTCGGGAGAAGCCCCGCGGGCACCCCGTGCCGCGTGCTGGCCGCCGGCGGACAGCAGGGGGCCGCCAGCCCGCCGCCAGCGCCCCGAGCTCCGGCCGACCTACGGAGCTCCGGGCCGGAGCGGGACCGCGGCTCCCGCTGCCCGGCACTTGCCCGAGGCTCCCCCCGGCCGTGCGCAGCGCGGCTCCCAGCCCAGCCCTCCCCGCCGCCAGCTCCAGCCCCGGAGCCCTCCCGCCCCCGGAGCCACCGCCCGGCCCGGAGCCGCCCCACACCTGTCCGAGAGAAAAGGATCGGGCGGCTGCAGCGAAGAGAGGCAGCCGACTGCGCTGCGCGCCGGATATGCGTTCTCGCCCCTGCTGCCCAGACTGAAGGAACACTCCCAAGCTTCCACCCCTCGTTCTCCCCGGGACGACTTCTTCCGTGCGCTGATGACAGCTGCGCGCGGCGCATGCGCGTAGCCCTCGCACGCCCGAGGTAGGGAGGACCAGGAGAGGAGAGGAGAGAAGCTCGGAGGCCCAGCGGGAGGAACACGTGACGGGGACGAGCGCTCACGTCACGTGCCCAGCGGCAGCCGATGCCGGCGCCGCCCCCGGGCGGAGCGGCTGCGGGCGGGGAGGATGCGCTGCGCGCGGCGGGTCACGTGGCGCCGGCTGGCAGGCGGCCGGGGGGTCGGTGTGCTGTGGGGCGGCTGCTGCCCCGCACCGGGCGACGCGCGGGTCGTGCAATGCGGCGCGGGCCGGGTTTGGCGGTATGCAGTCTTCGGTCAGCTCTAGTCGGCTTCTGTGTGCCAGTCCTGTACCGTCATGTCCCGTCTTGCCTTGTCCCAGTCTTTAACGTGACTTTTATCCCCGTATGGCAGAGGCTGAGCCCTACTATGCTGTCATGTATTTAGTTTTTATCAGTTATCGCTGTTTATCTTCCAGCTTAGCTTTCAGGCATTTATGTTAAAGTAGCAAAAAGTGACCAGAAGATAACTAAAGGAGAAGTCCCTTCAGGCGTTGGGATTTGGGATTGTTCAGCTTGGAGAAGAGGTCTTCCAGTAGAGAGTCCTAGGAAAGGGACCGACCTTGTACAGAGGTAGTGATAGCACCAGGGAGGGTGGATTTAAACCGAAAGAGGGGAGGTTTTGGTTAGATGCTAGGGAGAAATTCTTCACTCAGAGGACCATGAGGTACTGTGCACATCCCATCCCTGGAAGCACTCAGGGCCAGGCTGGATGAGTTCCTTCATAGTTTGATCTAGTGGTTGGCAGCACTGCTCACAGCAGTGGGATCGGAACTGGATGAGCTTTGAGGTCCGTTGCAACCCAAGCCATTCTGTGATTTGCTTCTTCAAATGTGCCCGTTATCATGAGAGAACTCTTCTTTTAGACCCAGATTTAGGCACTGACAGAACCTGAAAATGTAGCAGAACCTGAAAACGTTCCTCAAAAATGAGTGTATCTAATGCTATAACTTTGCTGTGCTAAGAGAATTTCATGCTGATTTGGTATCTGGTCTCAATACTACACCTCACAGACTGCAGTCCTATGTATGCAGTGTCTCCAGCCCCAGCTGCAGCTGTATTTAAAGATTCTCTATGGCACCACTGCTTCCACTAATGTCTGAAATAAGCCATCCTCATCTGCCTTAGGAAAGGAGTTTTATTTTGTACATTAGAAATGGGAGAAACAGAGCAAGTTTTGCCTTTTTTCTTAATCTTTTGCAGGAAGGGGGAAGAAAATGTTTGTGTAGTGGTTTCTCAAAGATAAAACAGCCCAACTGAATAGAGATTTTCTCGGTTCTTTCACTGACTCTGTGTTGATTTAAGATTGTTTTCAAGTAGGCTCTCTTTGGCTGAGGCTGACTACAGTGACTGTTGAAGCACTGGGTGAGCAGCACCTCTTTTCTCCCAGTCTTATGTCTGGCTAGAAGTGTGTCCTGTAGTGCTGATGAAGCATGTACCTCTGAATGCCACTGGTTCAACTTGTAAGGATGGGCTGAGGAAGCATCAGGGCAGTTTGATTCTATTAACCCTCATCAGAGTGCTACAGTGTGGATGATTGTGCCTTGACATCATTTTTCAAAGACCACCTCACAGCACTTCTGTCTTACTAGGTGGAAGTACAAAGACTGTTCTTCTTCAAAATGTCTGTGAAGCTACACATGGTCATTTGATCAGTATTTCACTTTTGCTGTGATGCAGTGCTTTCAGGACTCACTGATTGCCTTTCCTTTAATGGGTTTATCTTGGAGTACCTGTGGGATCAAGTGCACCCTCAACAGGTTTGCAGATGAGATTAACTTGAGTGGTGTAGTTGATATGACAGAATGAAGGGATGCCATCTAGAGGGACCCAGAGTAACTTGAAAGGTGGGCCCATGTGAACCTAGTGGTGTTCAACAAGGCCAAGTGCTAGGTGATGTGCTTACATCAGGGAAATTTCAGAAATGTATAGAGACTGGGAGAGGAAATCCTTGAGACCAGCCAGGCCAAGAAGAACTTGGTGGTCCTGGTAGATGATAAGCTGGACATGAAGCAGCAACATGCACTCGCAGACAGCAATGCCAACTCTATCCTGGGCTCTATCAAAAGATAGGTGGCCAACAGGGCAAGGAAGGTGATTGGCCCCACTCTGCTCTACCCTCATAAGGATCACTGCATCCAGGCCTGGGGCCCCTAACACAGAAAAGATGTGGAGATGTTGGAACAGTTCTAGAGGAGGGCTGCTAAGATGGTCAGAGGGTTGGAGCATCTCTCCTATAAAGACAGGCTAATGGAGTTGGGCTTCTTCAGCTTGAGAAGACTCCTGGGAGATCTCTGAGGTGAGGGTGGTGAGGTACTGGCACAGCTGCCCAGAGAAGCTATGGATGACTCCTCCCTGTAGGCATTGAAATCCAGATTTGATGGGTTTCTGAACAACATGATCTAGTGCCTGATTTAGTAGTTGATGATCATGCCTGGAGCAGGGGATTGAAACTAGATGATCCAAAGGATCCTTAACAGTTCCTTCCAGCCTAAGCCATTCTGTGGTTTGTTGACGTTCTACTGGCATAAGTTGTTTGTTTTCCTAACTGAGATCTCAGCAAGTTTTTATGCACTTTCCTTTTGCCTTTCATGTCTGGGACTATACATATGGGTTAGTGTTGGTTAGTAACACTAGTTACAAGACAGCATCTTTCATCTGGGAAGTAAAGGTTGGGGGCAGCTTGGGTTGTAGTGATCATGAGATGGCGGAGTTCAAGATCCTGAGTGGAAGAAGCAATGCAAAAAGTAGGATTGCTGTCCTGGACTTTAGGAGAGCCAACTTCAATCTCTTCCGGGACCTACTTGGAGCTATCCATGGGCTTGGGTGTTAGAAGGTGAGGGGGCCTCCAAGAGCTGGTCAGCATTTAAGCAGCTCTTCTTCCAAGCTCAGGATCGGTGCATCCCTGTGAGCAAGAAATCGGGAAAAGGTGACAGGAGACCTGTGTGGATGAGCAAGGAGCTCATGTGCAAGCTCGAAGGAAAGAAGAAGGTCCATGAAATGTGGAAAAAGGGTCTGACCACTTGGGAAGAATATAGGAATGTAGTCAGAGCCTGCAGGATGCAACAAGGAAGGCTAAAGCCCGCCTGGAATTGAATCTGGCTAAAGTGATAAAGGATAATAAAAAAGGCTTTTTTAAGTATGTTAACAGGAAAAGGAAAACTGGAGAGAATATGGGCCCTTTACTAAGTGAGGGGGGTGTTCTGGTAACGGGGGATGCTGAGAAGGCAGAGATACTGAATGCCTTCTTTACTTCTGTCTTCAGTGAAAAGGCTCTCCCTCAGGGTTCCCACACCCTGGAGGTTAGTGAGAGGATCTGGGGAATGGGAGACTTTCCTTTAGTCAGGGAAGAGGTGGTCCGTGAGCGCCTAGGCAGTACTAAGGCCCACAAGTCCATGGGACCTGATGGGGTGCATCCACATGTGCTGAGGGAGCTGGCAGAAGTCATTGCCGAACCTCTCTCCATCATCTTTGAGAGGTCTTGGATAATGGGGGAGGTCCCCAAAGACTGGAGGATAGCCAATGTCACTCTGGTCTTCAAAAGGGGCAAGAAGGAAGACCCGGGTAATTATAGGCCTGTCAGCCTCACCCCTGTCCCTGGAAAGGTGATGGAACAGCTTGTGCTGGATGCCATCTCCAGACAACTGGGAGAAAAGGAGGTTATCAGGAGTAGTCAGCATGGGTTCACCAAGGGGAGGTCGTGCTCAACCAACCTGGTGGCCTTCTATGATGTTGTCACATGCTGGGTGGATGGGGGAAGAGCGGTAGATGTAGTCTACCTTGATTTCAGCAAGGCATTTGATACCGTCCCCCACGACATCCTTATAACACAGCTGAGGAAGTGTGGGATAGATGAGTGGACAGTGAGGTGGGTTGAGAACTGGCTGACTGGCAGAGCGCAGAGGGTCGTTGTTGGTGGTACTGAGTCTGGCTGGAGACCTGTAACCAGTGGTGTCCCTCAGGGGTCGGTGCTGGGTCCGGTCTTGTTCAACATCTTCATCAATGACCTTGATGAGGGGACAGTGGCCACCCTCAGCAAGTTTGCTGATAATATGAAGTTGGGAGGATTGGCTGACACACCTGAAGGCTGTGCTGCCATTCAGCGAGACCTGGACAGGCTGGAAAGCTGGGCAGTAAGAAACTGGATGAGGTTCAACAAAAGCAAGTGTAGAGTCTTGCATCTGGGGAGGAATAATTGCATGCACCAGTACAGGCTGGGGGATGAGCTGCTGGAGAGGAGCTCTGCAGAGAGAGACCTGAGTGTCCTGGTGGACGACAGGTTGGCCATGAGCCAGCAGTGTGCCCTTGTGGCCAAAAAGGCCAATGGCATCCTGGGGTGCATTAGAAAGAGCGTGGCCAGCAGGTCGAGGGAGGTGATCCTCCCCCTCTACTCTGCCCTGGTAAGGCCTCATCTGGAGTACTGCGTCCAGTTCTGGGCTCCCCAGTACAAAAAAGACAGGGATCTCTTGGAAAGAGTCCAGCGGAGGGCCACAAAGATGGTGAAGGGCCTGGAGCATCTCTCCTATGAAGAAAGGCTGAGTGAACTGGATCTATTTAGCCTTGAGAAAAGACGACTGAGAGGGGATCTAATCCAGGTTTATAAATATCTGAGGTGTGGGGGCCATAGTGGTGAGGCCAGTCTCTTTTCAGTGGTGAGTGGAGACAGGACAAGGGGAAATGGACACAAGCTGCAGCATAGGAAGTTCCACACAAATGTGTGCAAGAACTTCTTTACGGTGAGGCTGACGGAGCACTGGAACAGGCTGCCCAGGGAGGTGGTGGAGTCTCCTTCTCTGGAGATGTTCAAGACCTGCCTGGATGCCTACCTGTGCAACCTGCTGTAGGGAACCTGCTTTGGCAGGGGGGTTGGTCTCAATGATCTCTAGAGGTCCCTTCCAACCCCTGCAATTCTGTGATTCTGTGATTCTGTGACACTGTGTAGCATTTAATCCAAACTAGTTCAGAACGTATAT